ACACACCAACTGCTGAAACTTCCTTAGCCTGACGAAGGGTTTTTGAACCCGAAAGCTTGCTTAATAACTATTCTCCAACCATTTGGGTTGGTCTAATAAAAGATATCAAATTCACCCAAGGAACCTTGTCTGCCTATAGCTACTTTAATATATTTATATTGTAAATAGCATTCATATTGATTTGGAAGGACTTCTTTGAGGTGACTTTGCTGGACTTTTTGAAGGGCTCTTGGCTGGAGTCTTCTCAGGAGTCTTGGCTCCAGGTTTTTCTGGAGCCTTGTCTGCTTTCTTAAAGAAAGTGTCCAAGGAATTTTGGACAGCTGTTCTCCAGGGAGATGGGTGACGCAGAGAACTTGTTCGCTGGTGTGGTGTTGCATCAGATCAAAGCATTGTAAAGTTGAAACTGACGTCAGAAAGTTGAAACAGGGTGTTGATTGATAAACGTTGTAAGTGCGGAATGTTGTAATTTGAAATGTTGTAAATCGAGGACTGCCTGTACATGTGACACTGTTGGTGCTTTAATTACAGTGGCTCTCAGAACCGTTCGATTTAAAGCACCCTTCTCCCCACCCCACAGCATGTGTCTAAGGCCCCTATGGATTTTTCAACAGCGTTTCAGACTTACCTCCAGTCGCCACCCAGAAATTTGGTAAAAAGGATTTGCAATCATAATCTCAAGCCAAAACCCAGTTTCTTATTCAAGCCATTCTACTTACTACTAACAAAGTGCACATCAAGAATGATGGGGTGGGGGGCCCAGGTGGGACTGTGGCCTTGGTTCTTTGGGACAGTCCCCCAGTGGCATCAACAGGAAGTTTGGGGTGGCCCAAGAAGTATTTTGCCCCATAATTCCATCCTAATCTGACCTTCATTTAGGGCTCTGTACTTGATGTGGGATTTTATTTTACATAGTAATTAGTACATATGCATAGCTAATGAAAGTCTCTCTCTTTAGGATGTGTACTTTATTAATAACAAGATTTTATTGGGCCTAGATTAGCTTTGAAAAAGGAACTGGGAATAAAGAATAGGGAACTGGGAAGAAGGACCTGAGAATAAGCAACCAACTTCATCTCTCTCTCTCTCTCTCTCTCTCTCTCTCTGGAATTAGCCCTGCCCCAGAAAGAGCATCCAAGAGGGAACTCTGTAATGGAGAAAGCAGCTGCTGTGGGGTCCCAGAATTGTCCTAGAAAGCCCTGTACCACCAGATCCTTGAGTGGTTGCAAAGGTGGGAAGAGGGCACAAGGGGTCTCTCATCCTTGTGCACCATGTACACCCACTCTGCCTTTACCAGTGGTTTTCAACCTTTTTGGACTCAAGGCACCCCTCACTGGACTTGAAGCCCCCCTCCACAACTTTTCTGAATTGAGTGGCATCCAATATCAAAAGCTAATGTATGTATTAAAGAGCTTACCTCCTTACACAGGGACTGGGACAATCCTGAGCCTGGTTTATTTGCTGAGTATATCTGCTTATCTCTTCACACCTCAATCTGGTTGAGAATCACTGCCCTATCCTCAGAGAAGTGCAGCAATTGCTTCCTTCCTCCCCAAATAGCATGGGAAGGAGTGGAAAGGGGATGGGGCCAAGGCTTTATTCTCAAACCCTGCATTGACCTATAGAGCTGTTTGGTTTGGAAAGGAGAGCGAATGCTGCGTCCCAAAGGATGGTGGTATTAATTGCACATTCACATTGAATATACCTGGGAGCCGAAGGAAGTATTTTGCTTCTTGAGTTGTTCCCTCAGAGCTGTGGGACTATCTTTTCCAACATGAGTGGCTGCCTTTACTAACCAGGGCCCTGCTCAATGGGAATTAGTCCCATAACTCAGAGTTAGGGGCCTAAATACTTTTGTGGATCTGTGCCTAGTGTTCTGGAGCAAGAAGTCTCTAACTGAAGGAGCCAAGTTCTGTCTTCAAGCCTACACGTCTAGTCTTAATTCTGATTTCATCAGAGTTATGCAGAGGCAGTCTGAATTTGTTTTCTTCGTTCCTTCTGCAGCTAAATTGCCATATAAAGGTTTAGCAGTAATAAGAAGCACTTCCCGTGGTATTTTTACACAAAGTCAGATGGTCTCTTTTAGTGTGATTGTACCTCAGAATGTTCTGAAGTGCTCTATTTGTTTAGTTAATGCAGTGAATTTGGGCAGACTCCAGGTCCCATTATTAATCTTTCTTATCCCTGATGGTCAGCCATGAACTGTGCTGAACACTTAACTCTTGTGATATCTATGGTAAGCTTGCTATCCTTCTCTTACATGCCTGCCTGCAGTCCAATTACTAGCTATTTTCCATTTATTTAAAAGATACCAGTTTTTCAGAGATACTTTTGTTCATCACTGCGCATTAACAGTGTTGTCTAACACTGTCTCTCTTCATCATGAGTTTCATTTCACCTCCCACTTTGAAACAACTGACCCTGTGGTCTGTTGTCCTATATGTTTGTTTCACTGTAGGTCACTTAGATTGCAACTAATTAGCATGAATCACTACCCGCAGGAGTTCATCTTTTACTGCCAGCTCTATTTGGGGTTCTCACTGTGAAGGTCACAGCACAGCCTTTTTTTTTTTTTTTTTTTAAGGTGGCAAAACGGGGAGGGAACTTGTTTTCTGATATTTCAACAATGCCCTTTTCATGTTGGCATCTGGGTTTATTTCATGCCAAGTGCCTTGTTGACCCTGCTACAAATCTCTTTTTATGCCATTTTCCTCATTAGCGAATGATCCATAGCTCCACCTGTCATGTGGGAGTTAGGTCTGTTTCCCTGATCAGGAAGGACTGTATGTTTTTCATTAACTCCTTAAAGTTAGGCTAGCTAGAGTGTTGGGAAATACTGAATTGGGGGACAATCTTGTTCAGGCCAGGAGGAGAAGATGGGATGATCTAATAGGTCACTTTAGGCCGAAATTTTCATATCTAGGGCCGTGCTCTTGTCTCTGACTGAGGAGTACACAAGGCAAGGTGAAGGGGTGCAGGAGTGACTCAGAAATGGAATAAAACTTGCCTTTGCTCTTCTGTCATCCCAGGGACACTATTTGCATGGCTGCTTCTTGCAGCCTAAGGGCTTCTTTAACAGATGCCACCTGCTAACAGCCCCAAAGAACCAAAACAGGAGCTGGAGATAGGCAGAGTGTGGGGCTCTTTCACATATCTCCTTTCCTATGCCCTCACTTGCTAAGTGGACAGGCAATAGAGCAGGCAGTCTAGGAGTCAATATACGAGCCCTGTGCTATCAGAAAATCCTCATACTGCAATGACCCTCCTTTGGATGGCTATGATGGCTTTGCAGCCAGAATCTACTGGCAAGATGGAATAACAAGGTTGCCTGTCATCCCAGCTTCTGGCCCCTATCTTTTCTGATTAAAACAATGAGTGATGACAGCTTACACCCTAAAACTTTTAAACAATGGTTGTGGAAAACATAGGAATAACTCTCATGAATATAACTGATAACTATCAGAGAACCAAAATAGAAATAAAAGCTTCTCTTAGAGCTGGTAAATAGTTTGCCTTCTCAAGAAGTCAGGGAAAATACACTCACTCTGGAAAGATAAATTCCATCTTTGGAATTGCTTTCAAACATATTTTTATTAACTAAATAAAAATGTATCTCTCAACAAGAATGTGCTTTCAATACATCGTGCAGTACTAAATATGCTCCTTCTATATCCTGAGGAAGTTCTTGGGGAGGGGAATGGCTTTAAAAAGAATAAAGCCTCAGAAGCCAGCCTCTAGAAAGAAGCCAAACTCCCTGAAGGAAGGAAAGTGGTTAACAGATCAGTACTTACCCACCAGCAAGGAGAACAGGAGAGGTGGTACCACATAGTTGTAGAATTTCCCAGCCTGTTGGTTCATAGCTGCTGAAATATAGAGTCTCCCTGCCTTTTCCTTTCTCTTGGATATGGGGAAAAATGTGTGTGTGTGTTTTGCAACAGGAGCTCATATTCTGCCCAATGAATGTCACACTTGCTAAAGTTACCACAGCTTTAAGTTCACAACACTCTGCCGCCTGCCTGGATGACCGCCACATTTTAACTTGCTAGCGTGAGTGGCTTCTCTGGGGAAGTTTTGCGCTCTGCCAAGGAAGATGCAGAAACACAGTAAAAAGTGAGGACAAACATAATTTTCTTTTGTGGCTTTGATCTTTAGTACACCAGGGTCTGGGGTTGAGCACTGCATATTCAGATAGTCAAGAGAGGATTCTCAGTCTGTTGAGCCCCAAATGGAAATGAAAAAGAAAGAACATTGGCTTGATTTTCAGAGCAGATGGGCAAGGAAAGCACTTCTTGATTGGGATGGCACTTGCAGGTACTCAGTACCTTTGAAAATCAGGGCATGAGCATTCCATGTGTTGGTGATTCAATGCTATATTCCCAAAGTATTGCTTTTCTTTGCAATGTTGCACAGGCCTTAAATATACAAGTGTTGATTAACTTTAACTGCCTGGTTAACTGAAGCTGCCCAGTGCAGATGAATGAGTTTGAAAATCAATGACCCCTTTGCAAAGCTGACTAATGTTCTCTAGTCTTGTCCGAGGAAAGCTCACATAGGAACAATACCGTTGTGTGGGCAGGGCTTCAGCAGCCAGGTTCATAGGCTGTAACATCTCACTACTCATTGATCCTGCCAGTTGTGGTCCAGCTGTGTGGTGGGCATCCTATTCCAACCAGTTGGTTGGCAACTCTCTCCTGAACTCTGGGGTTGGAGACCTCGGTGCAGGTTTCTTGAAGCCCGCTAGACTCTCTCTCCCATTCCTGAATTTAACTGATGATTTTGGCTACCTCACAGTATCCTTTAGATAAATAGGATTGCATGCTCACATGCTCTCCTACATCTATTTATAAACATGTTCCCACTAAGAGAGACCTGAGACACTTGTTTTATGCTATACAACAGAAAGGGATAAACTGTTCGAAGAAAATTGCTGTGGTGCTATGGTAATATGGCTGCTTTCTTAATGCTCCATTTGGCTATTTCTAAGATCCAAACTTGCCTAAATGTAGTCCTTTAACTCTACGACAGTCCCAAGGAGTGTATACCAGTTTCTGGCATCCAAAACCCAGTGACCCAATATATGAAAGAGGTTACAGTCTTTGAGAGTAATGACTTGCTCCCTGTAGTCTTGGGTTGTGTTCAAATACCATGGTGATCAAGAGATAGAGGAAGCTAGACTAGGTGGATATTATAATGGCTTTGAAAGGTTTCTCCCAAGTGTCTTAAAAGAGCTAAAAAGGCAAAGGTTTTTCTTCTTTGTTTTATACTTCTTAAAAGATCTGGATGTTCTTGTCAGTTTAGGTCAATACAATGTAAGGCACTTTCTTTCACCTCAACATTTCTTTGGGGGAGGAAAAGGCTCAAGAGCCACGATAAGGAAGAATAAGAGGCCTTCTCAGGCGGTGGAAACTGGAGTGGGGAGGGATCTGAAGGAGGAGTTGTGTTGAGAGATTAAGTATTCAGCTGTTTTGAGCAACTGGCCTGGAACTGATCTGCGTGCCTGGAGGGTAAAGATGGAGTAGAGAGGGGCAGCTTGCACGCAGGGGCTCCCTGTGAGGCTGGGGTCAGTTCAAGAGAAGCAAAATCACTGCACAAGTAACTCTTCAGGGAGACAAAATGGCTGCCAGGGTTGACATGGCAGGGGAGGATTGGCAGCTAGGGTGGCCATCCTAGAGGGCAGTTCGGTTGTCCTCTGTCCTCTATTGATACGAAACCTGATGCCTTCAAGAGAAAAACAGAGGACATAAAGGCGTTGGGTTTTGTATCAATAAATGACACAGTAGCAGAAAACCAGACTGTCCTCTATGATGGCCACCCTATTGGCAGCTAACAGCTGCAGGTGGGAGATGTGCAAGCCCTTCAGCACCTGCACTCAGGCTGCTGGCTTGTGTTGAGGTGTAGGAGGGGCTTTGGGGCCCAAGAGTGAAGCCAGAGGGCATGGGGACGGCTGCGGCTTCGTTTAGGAGAAATGTCTGGCTTTGAAACTTCTTGGGAGCAGTTCATTACACAGCACCAAATCAATACTAATAGTGGGAAAAACTGGGATTTTTGAAGAATTATTTTTCATATTTTTAGTTTATTGAGACTTAAAGATGATTATAGAGGTAGCAGCAAAAGACAGTAGAAATCAGGCCTAAAGGTCTGCTGGCTGAATTACAAGCCAGGTCAGTTTAGTCCTGTGAAAATACTTATGGGACCTAGGTTGAAGAAAACTCAGAGTGGGTTGGAGTTTCTGTGGATAATGCTGATGGGATGTGGTCATGAACATCATGGGGTCCCCTTCAGCTTCCCCAGAGGCCGGGACTGTTTATGCCAGGAGCTTCATAGCTTTGCAACACTAGAAGACCCTAATACTGTAGTTTCCCATCTGAAACCTTTGGAGACAGACTTTGACACTGCAAGAGTGAGCTCTGCCTGCAAAGGGGAGCTTCCTCAGTGCAGAGACAGGGACAGAAAAGTGCAGGAATCCCCAGGATGTGATAGCTCTCTATTAGCTTTGTTTGGTGGGGCTGTGGGGAACTAGCTATATCACTCTAGGACCCACAAGCCTTTTCTGACTCCTGGCAAACCTTCTCCCCAGCTGCATATCCCTCTCTCCACAGAGTGCAGCCAAGGGGGAAGAGAGAGGAATATACTAAGAAGGCACTCCACATTTTCCCTTGGCCCAAATGGGGGTTCTCTGAGAAAAGACATGCCATTCCTACATCTCTGACTCCTACAATGCAGGAGATCAGAAGAAAGACACTTTATTTGATAGGCACATTTTCTAAAAAATACCAGAAGTCTGTGTGTGTATGATGAAGAAAGCCACTGGCTGTAAGAGAAGCTTTACTCCAAACCCTGATCCTAAGGTAACCAGCTTGTTATCCGCCCGCCCCTTTTCATTAGCCAGATTGTTTTCTCTGGCAGTCAGATATCACCTAACTCTCTTAGTGTCAGGTTTACTCTGTTTCTACACAGGTGCCTTTGGCCAATGTTCTCCCTGCGACTGGCCCTTTAAATTGCAGAGAAGGCAGCAGCTGCAGCCCTATGGTGCACCCTTTTAAGGCAATTAGGTTGCTGGTTGCATCTCTTTCTCCTCTCTATGGTAAGCTGTTTGGTTCTTTTTCTCTTAAATTTTTTGCTTCCTAGGTTTGCTAGGCACCTGCTCCTTTGAACTGCAGCTTTGAAGCCACCTGGCTTTTCAGCCGCAGGTTTCAAACTCTGTTTGTGAGACCCAGCATTCACATTGTTTGCTTCTTCCTGCAATGCCAGCTGCTGTGCTGTTGTTGCCTTGCCAGCTGGCTACCCAATAGCAGCTGCTAAAGCAACAGGCTGCCCAGGTAGGACCTACTGTGTGGAGGAGGGTATAGCTGGCGGTCCCTCATTTCCACTGTCTTGCAGGATTGACTGGATGGGTCTGGCCATCTGCTCCACAGAAGAGAGCCACTTTGTTTGCAACACCATCGCCTGTCTTTATGAACAGGGTGGGGAAGCTGGCTTCTTCCTCCACCTCCTCATCCCATATATGCAGATGGTGTCTTCTGAGGAGTGGGTGGCCTGCTCGCACCAGTCTGTTTGTAGCACATTGGGAGACAGTGCTTCATTTGGGGGCCTAAGGCTTGCTCATGGTACTGCTGTGCTAGGAAATCCCTGGCTCCTGGTGGTATGATATGGTGCACCGTTGCTTAAGCCTTTTTGCTGCTGTGTTGCACAGGTTTTTAGATACAGTTAGGCCATGCCTGCTTTCAAAAGGACGATTCGGCGTTCGTGCTGCAAGCACCTATAAATCATATTTAAAATAAATATCTTTTTAGTGACTCAAATGCTGGTGAAGCTATCGGAGGTGTGGTAATATGCTACCTGCAAAGTGTTCAGCATGGGTACTAGCAGTGTCTGCTTCCCCGCTGCCTGTTTTGGAATGGGTGAATAGATCACTTTTTCTGGTGTATTTGCTGAGCCAATTTTTTAATAATTTCTGCTGCCCACCAGAGGTGTAACAAACTCTTGATGCCCTGGGCAGAACAGAGAGGGGGAGAGAGGATGTTGTGCAGAATGGGAGCAAGTCTCCCTTCATCCTAGAGACTCAAAGACCTAGGGTAGCTGCACCTTGACTGCAGCAATCGCGGTGGCACAGGCCCAGGGTTTCTGCTGCTAGATGTGGGGTCACTGGCTGCATCAGCTGCCCTGGGAGGGCTTGGACTGCTGCTGCAGCACAGGCTTCATGTAGCAGCTTCAGCACCCCCTGCAGTGGGGGCTTCCTGAAGGCCAGCCTTCCCATGCCCCCTCTAAGCCTGTATCCAGAACAGGTACCCACCTAGACTTTGCCTAGTTGCACTACTGATGCCCACTACAAATGAGTGTGAAATTGTCTGCTCCTTTTTTGGAGGTCATCAGACATCTGGCAGTTGGTGCTGTCGGGTATTAATGGCTGAGGCTAGATTCTAAACCACCGACCTAGTGGCGAATGATCCCAGAGGCTTTCTAATCTTCCAGGCCACCCAGGCTTCCCAAAGCGAGGCTTTCCATCTTCAGCCACCATAAGCTGGATCATGAAAGACCCTGCTGTAATAAATGTACTGAAGAGAGAGGGGGTGTGGAAATGGAGTCAGGGCATTCAAATTTGTATTGCATAAAGTTTTTGTGTGTGATGCATAGATAATGGCAGTTGTGAACGCGAGTAAAAGTATGTGGGGGAGACATCCGGAGAACAAAAACTTCTTGCATTCTCTCTCATCCTGTGACTCGTGGAATCTCCTCATGAAGGTGAGAGGATCTCTGCTTTCTCTCTCCCCTGATTTCCTCTGCTCTGTTATATGTGTTCTTACCTGAGGACAGACAGCAGCTGCCTCTTGAAGCATCCTCTCTCTTACTAAGAAGGAGAGTGCTGGTAATAGGCATTTTGTTCCCCTTTATGCTTGGAGCTTGTGGAACATGTGAGCGCTGCCTGTAGAAGTGAGCAGAGGAAGGAGTGCTCTCATGATTGTTTCTTGGGAACCTCAGAGGAGCCTGTGATTTTGATCAGGGCACTCATTTTGCAGAGAGAATTGCTCAGGACCCCTTACCTGTAGTACTCCTACTCCTCTACTCCTGTTAAGAACAGAACAGCTTTTTGTCTTTTACGGGCATTACTGGGTAATACAGATAGTCTGGCTTAGTGGGTAGGGTTCAGATAAGGACTCAAGAGGTCTAGGATCTAGTGCCAGGATTGCTACTAGTCTACTGGGTGAACTGAAATGCATTCCTTTTCCTTTGTGCCTCAGTTTTCCCATCTGCAAAATGAGAAAGAATCAGTAAAAGAATATTGGCCTCCTTTGTAGAGATTTTGGAGATCTATGGGTGAAATGGCATTGTATAATGAGCTAGGCATTAATAATAATGATACAGTTCTACATTCCTGAGTGGCTGTGTTATAAATACCTATGTTAACAGTAAATAACTAAGATTTGATCACTAAAACTACATCCTTTCTGTAAGAGTTCCTCTGTATTTTTAAACTTGTATAGCTTTAGTTAGGATGTTGTATGGTATTTTTAAAATAACACTTATGACAATGTTTGTAGTTGTTCATGAAACGTGCGTAGCCTGAGGGGTACTGAAGAAATGAAACATACTTTTTCAAAGTATAAAGAACATCAAGAAGTGCCATTTATTGGTTTACAAATCAGCAAGTGGGAAATGTTTTCCCATCACTGATTGCTAGCAAATCTAGACATGTAGGGTTTTATTTATATTGTCCACAAATGGAGCAGCTCTCCTGATTATTCCAACACCTTTCACCTGGTTTTCAAATTAAATTTTGCTTGCTTGTTCACAGGAAGTCTATGAAGAGGATCATGGTCTTGTTAACCCATTGGAGGCAGACTCAGAGGAGACTCTTGACACATGTACAGAAAAAAATCAGGCCCCTACTCCATATAGCTGGAGTACTGATTGGAGTTTTTGGGTAAATGAATCAACTTTTCTTTTTCCTTCTCCCCAATTCATTTTATATAGCACTTTTCATCCAAGGATCTCAAATTGCTTTACATACATTAATTAATAAAACCTCCCCACCCATCTTGTGAGGTAGGTAATTTATCGTTATCACTTTACTGAAGGGTAAACTGAGACACAGGGAGGTGAAGTTATTTACCCAATATCATGTATCAAGTCAATGAAAGCTGGGTATAGAACCTAGAAGTCCTGACTCCCTGTTACCTGCTTGGCTCATTAGACTATACCATGTCTCTGTTCCAGGCTCTGGAAAATGGTGGTTGTTAGTTCTTCCTCAGTAAGGGGCAAATTTCAATTGCTCTCAAAAGAGAGCTGTTTCTGATGGAGTTGTTGGGGCATGTGACTAAAAATGAATATTATAAGCCTTCTTTGGGGAAAAGGTGAATAGACTTGCCGTGCTTAAAAGCAAGCCATTGTCTATTGTGTGTCAGTGGGGTTGTGCGGGATAGTATTTTTCCCCCTTCTGTGCCAGATGACTTAATAACAGGGGAGGGCATAATAAGAATTGATCACTTAAATATTTTCCAACCACTTGCTGATTGTTGAAATAACATTAACAGAAAGGTTGAGTGGTTCAGAACTAGTGTGCTAGTTTGCAGGAAGGTCGTAGATGAAGGTTTCCTGTTAAAGAAGGAAAGAGGAACATGCAGTGCAGCTCAGCCAGGCAGATTTTTCTGTGGGGAGATGTCCTGAATTCCTAAAGGGTCCAAGTTTTCACTGCAGACCTCTGTTGCTCCAAAACAGCTTATGCCCCACATCACATGGCAGTGTAGCCTGAGCAGTAAACAAACATACTCTAGCTCTAGGTTCAGGGATATTATCTGGACCAGTCCTGACAACTTTCTTGTGAGCTGAGAATAGTACTCTCAATTTTCATCTGATAAAATTGAGTCAGAGGAGGTAAGTGACTTGCCTAAGGCCATGCAGTGAGTCAGTGGTAAAGCCAGAAGTAGAAACAAGGATTTTGATTCCTACCTCCATATTTGTATGTCTGCCCCTTTTGTTTGTTTTACTACTTTCTGTCTGATCTGGAATGGGATGTTTTAGTGGCCAAGGCATTGAACTAACTACCTAAAGATTTCCTTGAACTGTAATTCTGAAACCAGCCAGGGTTGACACGGTTTAATACTCCCATTCCTCAGCTTCCAGAGGAGACTTATGTACTGTACTGTACTGTACTGTGTATCCAGTGAAAGCATACAAAGGGCCTTTGTATTCTGCGTGAACATCAAGGTGACAACTGTGTTCTCTTGTATAGTTTTTTATGCAAAGCGCTTGCTCCATGTTTATCTTCCCTGTGACTCGAGGTCATGTATTCAGTGTAGGATTGTTTTTTCTGACAGTCACCCCTGCAAGTTTGTATTGTGATTTGGTCTGAATTAACATCTTTTCACTTGTTAGCACTGCTACCAGCTACACATGGTCTCATCTGTGCACCTGAATTGAATTGACAATTTAGGGAGCAGTTATCCTTAATTCTGTTTTGTTTACAGAGCCAAATGAAGTTGCACAGGTGCCATTGAGGCATAATTCAGCTTTTCAGCTCTCAGGATCAGTTTTGTTCATGTGGCTGCTAGGAACAACTTCTGAGTTTTGTAAACTCAGGAAATCTGAAGTTGCCATTATATAGTATTCCAAATGCACTTTCTAGGCCTAGGGGACTTTGTTTGAAAACAAAAGTTTGTCTTTGGACGCATCTTTCTTTTTTGCCCATTTTTGGTATAGTGTGTCATTTATGCACAAAATACTGCTTTCTACCTTGAACCTAGTTGGATTTTAGTGCTGCTGTACATGTATAAACTGTACAGTGGTTGCATTTCTTGCTATGATGAAAAGTATTAAGAAAATGTGCGGTATTATGATGTGACGTGCTTATGTGTTGTCTAGTGAGAAGTCACTTTCTTATAACTTGCATAGATATTTTCCTGACCTTCATATATTTAAGTCTGTATTTCATATTTATCTGTTTTTATATACCAATTTTCTTGTATTTAAATCCTATAAGTTGAACAGTACTTTAGTATGCTGCTTCTCTGAAAGGCGTTACTGTGGTTTATAAAACGATAGCTGTGCTGTAAGAGCTTGGTATGATTATAGGTTATCACAAAATACTCTTATGTAAATTTCAAATGGGGCATTATTCAACACCTTCTAGGTAGCTGTGGGAATGGGAAATTTTATTTTCCACAGTAAAGGCAATGGTCATGATTGGAATGGAGAGGTAACAGGAGACAGAAGAACTATGTTATGAGTGATGTGCTAAAATGAAGGAATTGGAAACCACAGCCATTAAAATGATATACCACTTTCTGCTTGCTATGTTGTTGCTGAATGATCTGTTGGACTTCCAAATTCATTTGTACAGCTCCTTGGATACTAAGAGGCATAACAGATGATGCAAGCAGTTCATGACACTACATAAAGTGTTTGTCGTTAACATTCAGCCAAAGGTGATTCAGCTTCTTGTGACAGGTATAGACATCCAGGAGGCTCCCTCCCACTCTCTTAATCAATTGAAAAAGGAGGAAACTTCAATAAAAGCAGGGCTAGTTCTTCAATGTTGGCACCCCAGTACTGCATGGATGTCAGGTCTGTTAATTGGACGATTGCTGTAAGAGACTGTACTTTGCTCACTAGGCACTTGTTCCATAGGACTCTCCTTGGCAAGCTAGGTATCATAATTCCTTTGAAGAGGAACACCCGGCACTAGTGTATAGATCCTGATAGATCTTTTTATGTTTAAATCATCAGCTTTTATAGACTTGAGTGAGAGTCAGAGTTGATCAGCAGCTTTGAAATTCACTCCAGGAGTACCAATTAATTCTATGGAGGCATCATGATGTAGCAAACTAAGTACAAGATTCCGAATCAGGCACTCCTTGGTTCTTGTTTTTGGTGGGAGGAGGAAGGGGAAGGAAGTCACTGCACCTCTCTGTGCCTTGTTTTCTCTGTTGAAGACTAGAATAAAACTTCAGAGGTGTTACGAGGAGGAATTGACTAGATACCCTTCCCACTGCTAGTCATCTTAGGTGAGTAATCCTTTGGACTGTTCTCATGATTAAGGGTTTGTCCTTAGTGTCTGAATCAGTCATTTCCTACCTGCCTAATATTTTGTTGCTACAAATCAATAAGAGATGTTTAGTTGACTTGCGTGCATTGTTTGTTAGAATTGGTGCACAACCTAGTTTGGAGAGAACAAAGACTGGTTTATCAGCTCCTGTCTCTGATCCAAAAAAGACCGTGGGGTTGGTTGGTGTTTTTTTTTTGGTTTATTTGTTTTGTTTGTTTGTTTTTGAATTTCCAGGATTTCGTTTTTATTTGACTGTGTAAAGTGTATGTACGTACTTCTAGGTTCTGGTTGGGTATAACTTCATGTTTACCTCATGAAACAATCTTATAAGTAAAGCTGGTGACATGCATCATCCCAAAATCAGCAATAGCTCCAGGATGCCATCCTTTTAATCTTTTTTTTTTTTTTTTTTTTTTTAATGATCTTCCCTCTTCTAGGGATGTTGAACTTAATTATATTCTGGTGTGAACATAGAAAAACCCAGCACTGAATACTTAATTATGGAGATCTCAACAAAAAGGAGGAAGCTAGTGAAAAGGATTATGAAGTTAAAAGTATGGGCACTAAAATCTGTAAATTTAGCAGAGTCAAGTTAATCATAACCTGATGGACAAAAGGTGTATATATTCCCTAAATGAAAAAGGAAGCAGGTTTGTAAAGAGGAACAAAAGCCTGGTACTCTCCAAGGGCAAGGCCTGTGAAATTATTTGAAGCAAGCAGGTGTGTTTCATAAAATGCAAATCCAGTGGTTAAAAAAAATAGGAGATTCAGAGGGAATTTTAAACAGTAAAGAACCAAAGATGTTAAAATAAAGAACATTAAATCAGCATATTCCTATAGCTTATTTAAAAGAGATCTATAAGAATGGATATAATTGAGCTATATAAAATAACGATACAGAGAAAGTAAACCAAATTTCCTGTTGCCCCTTCTCGTAACTTTAGAACAAAGGGATGTTTAATGCTGTTGAAAGCAAATACATTTAAAGGTAATAAAAATAAAAGTTATCTTTTACGCTATCAAGGACTAACCAACCTCTGGAATGGTATACTAAAAGATAACATCTTGGTCAAAGATATGGCAGAATTAGAAAATAATTAGATGTTTATATAGATAATACAAATATCCATGATTACATCCGGTGGGATTACTTTACTTTTCTGTAGAAGGGTTATGAGTGCTCATGTTTTGAGGCATGAAACTACTACTAACTAGCCAGCATTAGGGGAAGAACTTCTATCATTGTCGTCATTCTTTACATGTTCTCCCAAAGACTAAAACTTTTTTCCCAGAGACTGTGCAGGTTGGACTACTTTTGGTTTAGTGAGGTACATCTGCTCCTGTGTAGTATGGTGCTAGAGGCCTTCAACTGCTTCCCCTCACCTGTTATGTACTTTGTGTACATAACATGTACATATGTTGTGTACTTTGTATAAATAGCATTTATGCATGCATATATGTGCTGTGTGTGTGTGTGTGTGTGTATATATGTACTTTTATAGGAATTTGTAATGATGGGAGAAGCTATTGCTAATCTAATGGTTGCTTTAACCTGGATCTGATTTTAATAGTTTGCATAGTATAATGTAAAAAAATGGGGGAGGGGAGCAGGATGGAAAGATATAAGAGGGTAGGAAACTGTAGCGGTCCAGAGGCATAACTGTTTGTTTTGTATTGTGGAACAAATCGCCCCAATATGTCAATCTGTTGTTGTGGCTTCCAAACATGTTTATACTAAGGCAGAGGCAGCATGTAATGCAACTTAATTATTTGCAAGTAATATTTGGTTATCTTGGCTATTGAGTGAGTATTTTAATAGTTGTTGTTTTTTTTTTTCTGATGGTATCTATCCCCAAGTAGGAAGAAATGGCCTAGTTAGC